CGGCAGATATGGGTGTGGTTGTAGATGGGCCCAGGGAGAATAGGAGGAGGGCCCATGGGCCCATGGCATGAAGGCTGTGTCCTGAGGGAAAGCAGATCTGCCTCGTTGCAGGGGTTAGTGGCTTTTCTGAAGATCACAGCTGAGGGTTCATCGTGTTCCTTAATGCCTTTCCCATTAGCATCTGCAGGCGGTGTCTACCCCGCCCCGCCCCACCCTTCACACCCAGCAGCCACAGCACCTGCACCAGGGCCCTTTAACCTTCTGCAGGTCCTTTAACCTTCAGTCCTGCCCTCACCACCCCACCCCCACACGAGAGGGTGACCCTCCCTCCCCAGTTCCAGGTCTAAGACCCTGGGGGACTTACGCTGGGAAGTTATCCTGGGAAGGGGCCATCCCTTGCTGGGCAGGCAGCACTCACCACCTCCAGCTTTGTATAGTCCATTTAGACACATTAATAGGCCCTAGAGAGAATGGCTAGCATCATTAAATAACTCCCCTCTAGGGTGGGAGTAAGGCATGACAGCAGGGGACTGAGCCACAGGTCCTCCCTGAGTGACCCAATACCTGGCAGATGGTCCAGGCCAGGCGGACCCTCTGGCACCCAGGAGAATGGCTGGCTCTGGGACGGGCATGGTTTGGGGGCCACAGAACCCAGAACTAACTTCTCTAACTTCTCTCCCACCAGGAGTGTCTCAGGGACACCCTATCACCTCAGGCCCTGTTCAGGTGTTCAGGCCCCCCAGCCCTGCAGTGACTGTAACCCATCTCCCCAGGAACAGAGGCAGACACAGGTGGTCCCAGGCTGGGTCTGGGAATACCAGGCACATTGGTATAACAGGCAGCAGAGCCCCACACTGTGGGGGAGTGGCCCCACACTGATATTTCACAGTCCTGCACCAGTGACTCCCAGAGCTGGTGGTGCATTTGTACTGACCTTTTCAGGCAATGACTGATTCCTGCAGGGGAGCAGGAGGTGGGAGCGGCTGCCACTGTTACTGAGAGCCCCTGGTGGGGGACAGCCCCTGGCTGGGGACAGAGGCAAGGCAGTCCTTGGACAGTCTGTACCAGTGACCTGCATCCCTCTCCATGCTGGGACACCCGTCTAACATCGCTCCACCCTCCAGCCCTTGCAGACACTGGGCCTTCCCCCAGAGTCTCCCCTCATCCCAGATGTCCTCTGCACCCATCATGCCCGGTGCCACCCCACGGTTCTGTGTATGCTGTTTTCCCACCAAAGACCTATGTCCCTCTCGCCCCCTTGTCTTATCTTCCTCCAGAACCTTCCACTGTGTCTGCTTCCCTCAAGGCAGCTTTTCTGACACCTGAAAATGTCTCTTCTAGCTCTCTTATCTGGAGGCTGTAGTTCAAGCTGTATCCGTGTGTGCCCCAACTGCTTGTTAGGGTGCCATCAAGTCCCCTGAATAGCTCACTGGCCCACACCGTGACACGCCAAGGCTCTGGAGTCCACAGACCTGTCTCAGCCTCCCATAGGGAGGCAGAACCTGTGAAGGCAGAGGAATGGTGTCAGCGTAGAGGTCATGTCTAATTTGGCACCTGTGATACCACCTACCATGGGTGTGAACATTGTGCGACACTTTAGGAAAACAGTTTACCAGTAATGAATCGAGTGCCTTAAAATATATGTGTCCATTAACTCAGCAATTCTGTTTTAAGTAGTTGCACTAAGAAACTAATTTGAGATTTAGAAATATGTGACAAAGAACGTTCCATGCAAGGTTATTATGGCGAAAAATGGGAAGGAAGAAATCAGGGCACTTGGACATGATGGAATATCCTGAAGCCACTAAAGTTTATGGGTAGGTTGAGCATGGTGGTGCATGCCTATAATCCTAGTACTTTGGGAGGCTGAGGAGAGAGGATCAGTTGAAGCCAGAAGCTGGAGACCCTATCTCTACAAAATAAGACATTTTTTTTTTTTTGAGTTGGAGTCTCACTCTGTCACCCAGACTGGAGTGCAGTGGCCACTCCCAGCCACCGCAGCCTCGACCTGCTGGGCTCCGGCGATCCTTCCGCCTCAGCCTTCCGAGTAGCCGGAAGTACAGGCCTGCGCTACCATGCCCGGCTGATTTTTTTGATTTATTGTAGAAGTGAGGTCTCACTGCCCAGGCAGGTCTCGAGCCCGCGGGCTCAGGCAATCCACTCCCCTCAGCCTCCCAAAGGCGCGGGATTACAGGCTGAGCCACCGAGCCTGGCTAAATAAGATATTTTTAAAATGATAACAAAATGCAGTAATAAAAAAGTCATAGATAACAAGAGCCTCTAGATATGTTCAGGTTTTAATGGTGAGTAAAAAGGCAAGATGCTAGGTGAACAATTATACTCAAAATATGCATAGAAAAACCTAGAAGGAAGTACACGGTTTTATGAATGGTTATCTTTAGTGCAGGAACATGGGAGTTTTTTTCTTCTTTCTACTTTTCTATATTCCCCCCCAAAAAAAATTTTTTTTTGAGTTGGAATCTCACCCTGTTGCCCAGGCTGGAGTGCAGTGGCATGCTCACAGTCACCCCAGCGTCAACCTGCTGGGCTCCAGCAATCCTTCTGCCTCAGCCTTCCAAGTAGCCAGAACTGCAGGCTACGCATTACCATGCCTGGCTAGTTTTTTATTTATTGTAGAGACAAGATCTCGCCAAGTTGCCCGGTCTGGTCTTGAACCTGCGGGCTCAGGCAATACACTTACCTCGAGCCACTGAGCCCAGCCTATTTTCCAAAATTTATCCATAAAGTGTGTTGCTTTCATAACGAAAACAAGCACTTGTGACATGCATAGACACACACAACCAAATATCCCAGCATGCCTCAATTTGGGAGAAGCCACGACCCTACCCTCTCTCTCCAGCTGTCCAAGCCTGGGGGACCCCCCGAGCAGCCACTGTGGAATCAGTCCTTCCTGTTCCAAGGCCGAGACGGAGCCACGAACTTCTCAAAAGACACAGCCCTGGTGCTGGAGTACTATCCTTCCACTTCAAGTAGGTACCCCTGGCCTCCCAGGGCGCATGCCTCAGAGATTTGTATGAATGAATGTTGGGACCACCCCACCTCTGTCTCCTGCAGGGATCAGTTAAGGGACCCTGGGCCCGAGGCAGAGGAGCACCTGGCTGTATCCCTGTCCACAAGCCAGGACACGTGGCCCTGTCCCCATGCTATGTTTTTGTGTTTGTTTGTTTTGGCTTTTTTTTTTTTTTGAGTCCAGGTCTCAATCTGTAGTCCAGCCTGGAGTGCAGTGGCACAATCACAGCTCACCACAGCCTCGACCTCCTGGGTTCAGGCGATGCTTCTGGTTCAGCCTTTTGAGTAGCTCACACCAGTGCGCCACCACGCCCAGCTAATTTTATTTTTTTCAGAGATAAGTTCTCACTGTGCTGCCCAGCTGATCTCAAACTCCTGGGCTCAAGCAACCCTCCCATTTCCGTCTCCCAAGGTGCTGAGATTACAGGCATGAGCCGCCACACCCAGCCTCCCATGCTATGTTCTTACTGCACCCATCAGTGAGGGGGATGGGTGGGGGAGACAGGATTCGGAGACCAGCTGGTCCACAGTCTTACTTCCACACCATGGGATTGAAGCCCCCAAACAGCAGAGACGAGGGTGGTCTATATAAATACCCGGAGATGTGGCACATGTTTAGAATTGGCTTTGAATTCGCAAAGTCCTGGAGATCGGAAGAGGAGGAGGATGTATATGCAAGGAAAGGCCAGGAGGCAGAAAAGCAGGTGGGGCGGTGGGGTGTGGGGGGCTGGATGCTGGGTCCCAAGGACGGGACTGAGTGGAGACTCTGGCGGGAGCCCCAGTGTCCTCCCCCCGCAGTGAGAGGCAGCCAGCCATGGACACTCTCCCGGCCCCTGGGCATCTCCGTGCTGCCGCTGAAGAGTCATTTGTACCGAAAGATGCTGATGGGGAAAGGCCTGGACGGGCTGCGTGTGGAGCAGCTCCCCATCACAGTGAGCCCCCCGCCCCGGGATGGGGCCCCCACTGGCCTGCCTGGCCCTGCCCCGCCCCCTCCTCCTTGACATGCCTCCACAGGGGAAGGGCTTTTCCAGGAGATTCCACCAGTGTACCCACCAGGGAAGCCAGCCCCTGTAGGTGTGAGCAGCTCCCAGGAACCTCCAGCCAGAGGAATTGCCCCCGAGCCGCCCGGGTTCAAATCCTGTCTTGTCCCCACCCTCACTGTGGAACCTGGGGCAAATGACTTAACCTCTCTTAACCTCAGAGTCCCTAACTCTAAAATGGGAACAGCACACCCAGTACACAATCCCTGTGTATAATGAAAGAGTTAAGAGCTCAGACTCTAAAGCCAGACTGTCCGGGTCCAAATTCTGGTTCCACCACTTAAAGCTTATGTGGCTGTGAAAATTACTTAAAGTTTCAATGCCTCAGTTTCCCTGTCTTTAAAATAGGCACATAGTAATATCACCTTTCTCATAGGGTTGCTGTGAAATTTTATTCTAAGTCCTCAATAAAAATTAATATCCCTATTATCGATGTCTATTTCTAAACCACCTTTGCCCCTAAAATACTTCTGGCCATCCTGAAATAATTGACCTCAACAAGCAGGCATGCTCCCTCCTCCAGAAGACGAGGCTGGAGGTACCAGTCAGGTCTCTGGTCTCTGGTGGAGCTGAGAAGGGAAGTGTGGTGGCTGTAAGGCAGGGCAGAGGTAAAAGGCCAGCTCCAGCCTCCCTCCACCCTCCTGGGCACAGCCCCCAGCAGATGCCTTCCTGACAAACCTAGAACAGTGGGTGGAGCGGAGGCTGGAACAGAGGCCAGAGTGGAGGCCGCAGCTACCCTGGCCAGCGTGGTCTGAGTACTTCCTTCTCCTCCCAGGACACCAACCTGAAAACCATAAATGGGGAGGCCCCCACAGTGAATCTCTCCTTCCAGCTGCTCTCCTCCGAGGTAAGGAGGCAGATCCAGGGGCCAGGGGAAGGGAGGGACTGGCAGATCTGGGCCAGTGAGGTTCCACCTCCCTCACTACAGCTAGCCTTGTTCAGGGTCTGGGGGCAGGGGCTTCTGGGAGGAGGGGACTGCTGCTTTAGACAGAGATGTCTGCGAGTGATTTGAGGCTCCAGAAAACCAGAGAGAAAGCTGAGATTAGGGAGAGGCCAGTTGAGAGCAGAGGGCCACCCAGACCTGAGAGTCAGTCTCTGGTCCAGCCCAAGCCAAGCCTGGCTCGCTGGGATCAAGATCCTGCAAGGGTGAACTAGGACGTCAGTTTTCTGTTGCTGCGTAACCAACTTAATGGTTTAAAACAACACCCAGCCGGGCTCGGTGGCTCAGCCTGTAATCCCGTGCCTTTGGGAGGCTGAGGTGAATGGATTGCCTGAGCCCGCGGGTTCGAGACCCGCCTGGGCAACTTGGTGAGACCTCATCTCTACAATAAATAAAAAAATTAGCCAGGCATGGTAGCGTGTGCCTGTAGTTCCAGCTACTTGGAAGGCTGAGGTGGAAGGATCGCCGGCGCCCAGCAGGTCGAGGCTGCGGTGGCCGGGAGCGGCCACTGCACTCCAGTCTGGGTAACAGAGTGAGACTCCAACTCAAAACTAAATAAATAAATAAAAATAAAACAACACTCAATGATTACCTGGGCAGGTGGATGCAGTGAGGCTAGACTCAAGATGCCAGCAGGGTCATGCTCCTTCCCGATATCTGGGGAGGAATCCTGCAAGCGGTTGCTTGCAGGCTGCTGCCACTAACCAGTCCCCCTCAGTGCAGGACTCACATCCCAGTTTCCTCGCTGGCTGTCAGCCAAAGCTTCTCTCTGCTCCCAAAGGCTGCCCATATGGCCCTGGTACAGTGGCCCTTTAAAGGCAGTGGCCGTCTTTACCAGCAGGCACACCCAATGCCCCTCCCATTTCAAGTCTCCGACTTCCTCTTCTGCTGGCAATCAGAGAAAGCTCTGCACTTATCCAGGGGCTGATGTGACAAGGCCAGGCCCACTCCCGTAGTCTAGCTTAGAGTCAGCTGTGCCTCGTAACGTAACAGAATCATGGGGGTGAGTGTGCCTTCTACTGGTGTGGAATCCTGAGGGCCCATTTTTGGAATTCTGTCTATCACAGCTGGGTTGGTCCCAAATGAAACCCAGGACCAAGCTTACCTTGGGTAGGCCTCTCTCCCTCCAGCTGGTAGCACTGGGCCCAAGTCCAACTGGGCCCCTGTTCATGTGGCTTCAGTGCATGTGATAAGTACCTGCCAGACCCTCTCTCTTTCTGTGGGGCTGGGAGGTGGGGTCTTAGGACCATAAACCCAGGAAGCGCTTACAGGGCCTGACGTCTGGACCAGCCCCCTCCTGCCAGCTCCCCATGCAAGAAAAATGCCCACCAGCTCCGGGTGCATGCTTGGCCCTGCGATCTCACCCATGAAGAACAAACCCATACCCAGGTATGGGGTATGAGGAACATATCTAGGTGGACACCGGTCTGAAAGTGTCCCCAGAGGCCTCTGGGGAGGGCCTGAGATCTCCTGTGAGCACTCCCTGCTGTGGGTGAGCAGAGCCACCCTTTCAGGGCCCTCTAATGCCGGGTGGGAAAGAGTGTTAGATGCTCCCTGGCAACCCGCTGCCCCCAAACCAAGAACAAAAAGGTACTAAACGGGGAGGGCACAGAAGAAACAAAAGACCAGAGCAAGGGGCTGCAGAATCTTGGAGAAAAGGGTCACACACCCCCAGTTTGGAGCCCAGCCCTCCAGGGCCCCTTTCCAAGGTGTAGAGTCTGCCTGTAGCCGCCTTCAGCCCCTACTTACTTCCCTCCTCCCCCGTCCCCTTCACTGGGCACATGTGTCCTGGAACCAAAAGGAGTGTCCGGAGCCCCTGGTCAAAGGCCTGACACGTGGGTCCAGGCAGGCAACAGGCAGGTGGGCAGGCCACTTCCTCAGTTGCCCAGGGGCTGGGCACAAAGGTCTCCAGTAATGAATTATTCACCGGAGCTGTGCTAAGTGCAGAATTAATCCCTTTCCTTCCAGCTGGCGGCCTCACTAAATTATCCCTCCAAGTCATGCGGGAAAATGCTGCCGAATTCATTTAGCTGCTGAGTGTTTTGATCTGGGCCTTGCGATTTTAGCGTCCCCTTCCCCCAACCCCCTCCCCCAGAGGCGGGTAAAAAAACCTTTTAGTAATGGATTTCTGAGAAGAAAGGAAAAGAAAGGGAATCAAGATTGGGTGTGTACCAGGAAAATGGAACTCGCAGAAATTCAGATTCTGCAGCTGAGAATTTCATACGCACAGTCTCTGCACATATACACACTCTCATGCAAACACATTCAATATCTACACACAGACAGTCGCATACGCACAGATTCCGCTCATATACACACTCTCACACAACCACATGTCAGTATCTACACACAGACGGTCGCATACGCACAGATTCTGCACATATACACGCTCTCATGCAAACACATGTCAATATCTACACACAGACAGTCTTGTACGCACAGACTCCACTCATATACACGCTTTCATACAACCACGTGTCAATGTCTACACACAGATGGTCACATACACACAGACTGAATATATACATGCTCTCACACTACCACGTGTCAGTGTCTACACACAGACAGTCATGAACGCACAGATTGTGCACACAACTTAATGCACATGTACATGCTCACACACACATGCAAACGACACACAGCTGTCTTCACACCTGCAGTGACAAACAGAAGCTGAATCTCCTGATAACTCTTTATTGGTGAAACTATCTGAGGATTGGCCAACTGTGGACCCACTGTGACTCTAGAATCTCCAAGACCACCTGAGGGGCCTGAGTGTGCTGTGCTCATGTGGGTGACTCACCGTAGCGTTCTTGTAGCCCCTGCACCCATCCAGTTCCCCTTTGTCCAAGTATATTTGATGAGGAGCCACTGATGCCGGGTACTATGCAAGGCAGGAAGTAGACGTGGGGCTGCCTTCGTGGGCTGGAAGTGAAGAAGGAAGGGCCGGCAGCTACAGAGCCCCTTTGCCTTGAGTCTACCTTCATCAGCCTGAGACGTGGCTCACTGCTGGTATCAAGCCCTTTGGCGTCCTTGTCCCTAAAGGGTGGCAGGATAGTGCTGAGCAGGTGGCACCACAGCTAACTCTGAAGAGGCACCTCTCCATACTCCCCTCACTGCCTCCACTATCACACCATCCTTGCTCTCCACGCAACGGCAAACATGCACAAAGCATCCGCTGTGGAACAGATACTGTTATACTGTTTTGGGGACATTGAAGAAGGCAAATACATAAGTAAATCAGGCCCTCTCTTCATAAAAGTTTCACTTTCAGAGAGCAGGAAGTGTGGGGCAGACAATGAACCCATGATTCATAAGAAGATATGGCTCATGAGAGGTGGACCCAGGAAACCCAGACTAGGAGACACGGCAGGGAGTCCTTAGAGCAGCCATTCAGATTCCACATGGTGGCTGAGGAAGGGTGTGAGCCAAGCTGCTGCAACAAAAAGATTGCATGCCTTCCATCGTATTGTTCTGCCTAGGCTGTTGTCTATGACTTCCTGGCGGAAGGCATCCAGTCTTCATCTCTGCATCTCAGCCCAGGAAGGCAGCAGCAGGGCTGGGGAAAGCACTCTGTCCACGATTAAATCAAATACTGCTTAGTAGGTCCAGGAGTCACTCCCTGGCATCTGGGACCTTAGAATCCTGTGGCCTCTCCAGCCACAGGGGGGCATGTGATCGTGGCCACTCGGGCCCCTGGTTCATAGCGTCTACAGCTCCATCTGAGGGGCGGGTCCTTGTACGTGGTTGGATATGGTCAGTACCCTTGAAGAGTGGAAATGCTTCAGGGGAATTAATGTGCATGTCCTGCCTGGGTACAACCCTAGTCTGGGAACACAGGCTCTTTCCTGGGAGCTTCCACATCCAGAAGGTCTGGGCGCAGGCTATCCTGGGTGACTGGACAATTTGGTGACACAGCCTCCACACCCTCCACTTCTGCATCACCCATTCTCAGCACTCTCAGAAGAACAGCATGGTGACATTTCCTCATAGGCAGGGACTGCAGGGGTCTCTCTCAGCAGCCCACTCCGGATAAGAACTTCCTTGGCAACATTTGTCACAGGCAATCATCCCACCCTCTATTTCTGCCCTGTTGTGACAGGGAGCTGATCACCACCAAAGCCACCCCATCCCATGCTCCATGGCTGAAACTGAGGAATAGAAATACCTCACATTGAGCCCAACCTGCCTCCTGGGGCCCTCCCTCTGATCCAGGCACCTGGCTTTGCCCTCAGGGGCTGTGGGGCCCCTCCAGCAAGCCTCCTGTGTGGATCACACAGTCAGCCAACCAGCACGTTTGCAGGCAGACTAGATGACAAGGCCTGCTGTCTCAGTGGGTGGCAGGAGGTGGTGATCTCTGCTTTGGGACATTGTACTAGAAGGTTCTTTGTGGGTGATGAGTGCATTCTTACCCTCTGGAGGTGCCTCTCTATGGGGATTAGAGTGACCCGCCTTAAGCTGGATTTGTGCGTGTAGATGAGTAGGTGCAGAAATACACATAGACACACAAAAACCAGAAAAACATGTACACCCATGTATACACAGAAAACCTTTTTTGCGCTTTCAGTGGGGCTGGCCTTTGAGGCCCATTTAGGCTCTGAGAATCTGTGAGCAGCTAGGAGTAGTGGCTCATGACTGCAATCCTAGCACTTTGGGAGGCCAAGGTGAGAGGATGGTTTGAGCCTAGGAGTTTGAGACCAGCCTGAGCAACATAGTGAGACCTCGTCTGTACAAATAAAAACATTTTAAAAATTAGCTGGGCATGGTGACATGCACTTATAGTTGCAGCTACTCAGGAGGCTGAGGTAGAAATATCACCTGAGGCCAGGAGGTTGAGGCTGCAGTGAGCCACGATTGCACCACTGTACTCCAACCTGGGTGAGAGAGTGAGACCGCAACTCCAAAAA